CGCGCAAACCTAGACGAAATGCTCGCCCTCGGTGATGACTAACAGCAGCAAACACCAGCCAAATAAGCAACGAACAGCCGGTATACGTCGAGAATGTCTGGTCGGGCACTGTTTGGCTAGCAGACTAGGTTACCCGACTTGATTAATTCCGAGCATTGGTGTTCGGCATGTGACATCACAAATGCAATTAGGCATATGTACTAACACTGCAGAACCCTGTAGCGCTGAACCTACCTACTTACCAGCATGATTCTGTGTTAATTTTGTGTGTGATGCGTCCCGTCTGCGTTTACATTATGATACTCCCCACCCGTGGTTTGTGACTCATCCACCTTCACGCAATGTGATTTCGACGCCAGAACTCCATCCTAGCTTTCACCTCGCCCAACTAGTAAACACTGCGCGCGCAGCATGGTGCGACGCTGGATTGTGTTGTGCTTCGACGACACACCTGCGCCCAATCACTGATACCACCACTGGTTGTGTCTTGGCCGCATCCATCCAAGTCTCCAGCGCTGCGCCACTCGGGGGGCCTTGCACATCTTTGTGTGGTCATTTGTATCTCGCTTAGACCACATCACGGCATCGATTCCATTGTTTTCCCATCGTTTTTGCATGTTTCCGCTCTGCATGACCGGACCGATACATCAGCGTCGATGTTTGTTGGAAAACCATCTAGTTGTGGACTCATCGGTACATCTGGGCAATAGTACTTCCTCTCTTAGCTCACCAGTGCGACGGCTGTTAACTTCAAAAAGGTCTCGAACACCCCAGAAACAACGAAGCTTTTACTTGTGCATAAGCGGTACTATTGTGGTGCCGCTGAATGTACGGCTAACCTGCTTCTACCGTGCAGCTGACCGTCGGCAGAAATATGTTGTGGTGCCGCTGAATGTCCATCGTAATGAGGCTGGACCTTACCGCGGTGCGATGGTTTGTGTGCCTCAGCGATCCATTGAGCTACGCTGGGTGGTGCTTTTGCACCTTCAGAGTCACTCATACCAGATTGGTCAATGGTTAGAGGCCAGACAAACTCAGCCTCCTGGTCCTCCAGGTTGGGGGTTGGAATGAGGGTGGCACCTTATTCCTTAAAATGGACTCCTTGTAGCCCAACGCCAAACCCGCTGCCTTGCGGTCAGGTGTTTGAACCAAAGGCTTTGGTTGAGAACCCTAATCGTTCTCCTGTCTAGGCCTGGCCAACCTGACAGTATCCTGCCCACGCAATACTATGAATTTTCCTTCAAACAATTTCTTGATGCTCTGGCCACCGCAGAGGATAATAAACGGTGCCCTATCTGCTGCATCGAGCAGGGTGGATAGGGGTTTGGATGCTACTGCTCAAGCCTTCCCGTCTTCTTATTCCCCCTCTTACGCTTTTTCACTCTTACCGTCCCATTCCAACTTCACTTATATCCCCCCAGTTTTCAACCCCCCGATTCTTGGCCCTCCCCCAACATGCTTTGCTAGGCATTTGCCTTCTAATTTCAACTCACACGTGAACGCGGAGCGTCACTCCTCTCCTGTCGACAAGCTCATGTCCAACCAAGCGGTCCAATCCAGTTCATCGGCTTCCATTTGGAGCCCTCGATCCTCCTTCAGATTGGCATACCTCAATGTACGCACACTGCTACAAATCGGTCAACAGGCAGCACTTGCCCGAACATTGGAGACCCTCTCGATCGATATCTGCTGCTTATCAGAGACTCGCCTGCAAGACTCGAGCACTGTGCTCACTCTGCGATCCCCTTCAGGGGACGCAAGCAGTATTTTCTCCTTGCGCCTATCCGGTGACGATGCAGCTTCGAGCACCGGCCAAGCCGGTGTTGGTATTGCCCTGAGTCCCCGGGCTAAAGCTGCTCTGGTTGATTGGATTCCAATCAGTAGCCGGATGTGTGCGGTCCGATTGGCTGGCTCGTTTAAAGCTTCGAAGTCGCGCGGGACTAATAGATGTCTATTCATCATCGCTGCCTATGCGCCCACAAACTGTAGCGATGATTCGGTAAAGAACGACTTCTACCGCCAACTGACCCAGCTCCTTCGCCACAGAAGAAGCACGGACACTGTTGTGCTGGCGGGGGATATGAACGCACAAGTTGGAAAGTTGTCCACTGATGAACTGCATCTGGGCGGTCAACACGGTGTAGGCTCCCGTAATGATAACGGTGAGCGGTTACTTCATTTGTGTGAAGATGCTCGCTTATTTCTTGCGAGCACTAATTTCCGACACAGCACCCGCCGAAGGGTGACTTGGCGCCCACCAACCTCGAACCAGCCTTGGACGCAGATCGATCACATTGCGATAAGTTACCGCTGGAGAGGCTGCATCCAGAATTGTCGCTCGATTTGGAGCACATGTGTGGACACCGATCATGCACTTGTATGTGCTGACATGCGGATGCGTTTTGGCGGACGCCCACGACGACGCTGTGAGCGTATTGACACCAGCCAACTGACAAAACCAGCTATTCTGAATGCGTATCGAAGTACGCTAACATGCGAGTTGAGCAAGCGCTCACAGGAGACAATTGATGGTCACTGGTCACATGTTCGCCAGACCTTACTAGCAGCAGGCAAATCCTCATGTGGTATGTCTAATAGACAACATGGACATTGGGTGTCTTCGCAGTCTTTGGAACTTATAGATGCTCGCCGGCAAATCCCGGCTGGAAGCGAGCACAATGAAACTCGCAAAGAGCTCCGGGCAAAACTCCGTGCTAGCCTGAAGAGAGACCGCGAATCTTGGTGGTCTCATCGTGCGTCAGAGATGGAAGTGGCCGCTGCCCTTGGCAACCATCGTAAGTTTTTCCGTTTGATACGGGAAACGGGCAGCAGGAGACCTGGTGTTAGTGAAACTATACGTGACGAGAGTGGACAGCCTATCCACAATTTGTCAAAACGTCTGGAGCGTTGGGCTGAGCATTTTGAAAAGCAATTTAATCGGCAAGAATTGTTCGATTCGCCGGTCACTGATCGCCCCGCTCCGTGGGCTGTCCCTTTGGATCCACCCTCTCGCTCAGAAGTCGAACGTGAGATCGGACTGTTGAAGTTGAACAAAGCCGCGGGACCATC